AATTTGGGCTAATTGTGTCCAATATATGGGGGGGGGATGTAATAGTATTAAACTTTATATCCAAATAAATTTTTAAAAAAATTCCTGGGCTATCCAGAATTCTCAAGAAGAGGGATAGGAAATATTTAAGGCGGTGATATATCGTATAAAATGTGAATGTAGAATAAATTTTGAACAAGCTTTATTGGGTTTATAATAAAATCAAACTTTTCAATAAACTCTCTGTTAACTGAGCTTGATCTCCTCTATTTGAAAGTTATTATGAAATTATTGACAACAGTTTCTTTATAAAGGTTTTCGATATCTAAACAGAATGAAAATCCTAGCTAAAATACTTAATCGTAGGAATTTTGAATAAATATGTTATGCGATTGTGGTCACCATTGATATCATTAGAAACAAAAGATAGGCATAACTTACATAAAGTGCTGGCTGATATCTAGCATTCTTTGATCTCTATAAAATAAGTTAATCTAATGAACTGCATAATTTTTTTAATTATTTTTTAATTATTAAATTTGTTTTATCGAATAATATATTGATCTATTTATTTAATGTTGAATTTAATACCAAAAATTTTTAAAAATTTTTAAGATTAACTTAAATATTTTTTTATTGTTAAATTTGCTTTCTCGAATAATATATTATATTTTTATAAAATTTTTAAGGACAACTTAAATATATACCATTATAAAAAAAATCTTTTGTTATTTTGTGGATTATTTATATCAAATTTCATGAGATCTTATATAAAATTCAAATAACTATGCATTTATATTTTCTAAATGTATTTTAAATTATTAAGACTAATAATTTAAACAGTAAAAATAAAATATTATAATTATTCTATAAATATTAATCTTAAAAAATAAAAATGGCATTTTTATCCATTATAAGGCAAGAAATCCAATGGTTCAGGAAGCCCCACATGGTGGTATGACTATCCTACGGTTAAGGCCAGTTGGGCAAAATAACTATTTCTGCAAAGAATGAAATTCAAATTTTTTTTTTTATTATACTTCCCAAAATATAAAAAGGCACGGAATTTATATACTTTTTATAAAGTGGTTTGCCTAAGCTCCGGTGTCCCCTGTGTTTAATTTTAGCTAATCAAATCTACTCTGAAGTTGAAAATTTTAAAATTATTAACTTTTAAAAATTTTATATAGAAAATTGCTATATAAAATTTAAAAGGTAATCTTGGTATAAAATTCCAATGTTTTTTGTAAAACAAGATATGAATTTATATTATATTATATTATTCATATAGAAATTAATTTTTGTCGAATACGTGTATATTAAATTAATTATAAATTTAAAGAAATTTGAATATATATTTTGTAAAGATAACATGTTTAAATTGTTAATTTAATCGAAAGGTTAAATTTAAGAAAATTAAAAGACAATTATATAAAATATTATCGATGGTATGTAAATTTTAGTAGTATAAATATAGAGATAAAAAATGTAATATTATGAAGAAAAAGAAAGGTAAACCTTTTTTTTATAATTTTTAGTTTGACTTTGATTATATATTTTTAGTTATTTTTATGTTTTAGTTTATTTATGTTAATTTAGATTTTGATTATATTTAATAAATGAAATTGGCATCTTCAATTCGTGTTCATAAAAAATATTCAACTTCTAATAATTTTTATAACAAAATTTACCTTTTTATATATTTTGAAAAATTTTAAGGTGTTTAGATATTTTATAGTTATGATTAATTAAGGTATTGATAGTGGGGCTTGCCAAACCAGGGAACTTTGAACTATTAATGCATTATTATCAGAGACCTTCACGGGCCTTAATTTTTTAACCAAACCCGGCCCAGGCCCGCAGTAAAAATTTTTCTTAGGCTCAAGCCCGGCCCGGCCCATATCTATTGTTAGAAAAAATTCCCAAGCCCATGATAAGTTTCAAAAAAATTTCCCAAGCCCATTAAATTATTTTATAAATACTCATGCTGAAGTAATACTAATGGAAATATAATATTTTATTTAGTATATATATATATAATATTAATAAATGATATAAACAAAATTTTAATTTATATTTTCAAATTATCATTTAAAAATAATATATTATCAACAATTTCATTGTTTAAATTTGTCCTTCTCTCTTCGATAACTCATTTATGCCTTGATATATGAGATGATCCTACTTTTTGTGAATATGAAAGTGTGTCTTGGCATGTTTTACATTGAACATATCCAATTTTATTATTATGATTGTCTATTATTATACTAAAAGAATCCCAGACTTTGCTCTTCAATGAGTTGTTTTCAAATAATTTATATTCTTGAGAATGTAATTTTTTAATTATTTCATTTTATTAATTATATCTAAAAAAAATTGAAAATACTACAATTTATTAAAGAGGAGAAAGTCATAAGTGTTATAGTGAAATAATAAAAGAAGCCAGAATTATCAAAAAAATTGAACTGAATGCAGATTTATTTGGTGCAAATTTATTGGCCAGAAAAAATTCATAATGAATTTTAGCAATATGATGATGATAAAAAATCAAATTTGTATCTAAATATAAGTTGTACTATTATATTAAAGGTCAAATCTATTGGTCATTTAAATTAAATCTATTCATTCATTATCCTTACATAATACCCACATATAAAAGAAAGCACACAAAAAATCAATTAGTTCAGAGAAAAGAGTTTTATGTTACATATTAACAGCTTTCTTAGTTCAATCTCATTAGTGTAATACACAAAGGAAATACATAGAAAGCCAACTGAATTTATAAATGATATAAAATCCTTATTTCAATTATTGTAAAGATCATTACCTTAATCATTTTAAATATCATCTTTATAGCCATATATTTAATTTCTAATTAATATTGGATTTGTCACACTAAAGAAGTAACAGTGCGATCCAGTTTTATAAGAATGAAAAAAAGTTAATTTTAAATAAAAATATCATGGTATTTTATATAATTATGTGTAGGAATTACCTTTAATAGTCTTACACTTTAAATAAATTATGTCAAGAATAATTATACCAATTTCCGATTTTAAAGAAAAAACAAAATTAAAACTCTCCCAAGGTGCCTAGGAAAAGGGATAAATGATTTGTTATCTTTGTCCAAATAAATATCCTTTAAATAATCTAAATTTGAAAAAAGAAATTTAGGCCCAAGCCCGGTCCAAATAAAAAATTTCCAAAAACCCAAGCCCGGCCCAGGCCCGCTAAAAAATGGGCCGGGTATGGGCCTGCGGGCCGGCCCGGCCCATGAAGGTCTCTGTTTATTATAAAATTTAAATTAAAGTTTATGGACATGTAATATGTTTATATTTTATTCTTTCTTTGTTTATATTTTAGTATTTTATTATTCCTATGTTTATATTTTATTCTTTCTATGTTTATTTTTATTATTTCTTATATTTTGTTTTTCGCTAATTTAGGAAGTAGCTAAATCAAATATTATAAGACACTATATTAAAAATCTGGGTTTTTAATTGCAAATTATGTTTTAAACCTCTATTGTATATCACTATAGTGTTGATAAAAGTCTCGATTTGAGCCAATTTTTAAAATTGGCAAACTCAATATTTTATCTACAACAATATTATGCACCTCTGGAGAAATGGAATCAGGAAAATTGACTCTCCGGAAGGTTAACCTCAGGAAAATTGACCTGCTTAAAATCCCCTAAAAATTTACTTCCAGAAAAGCTAGGCTCCTGAATATTTGCTCCCAAAAAATATTAACTCTTCTTTAACATTCAAAAATTAAAATATAAAATCTGCAAAGAAAAATAAGTTAAAAATCATATTTGAGGGATATATGTATTCTATACTATTAAGTTGTGAATTGTGATGCTCGAAATACAGCAAATTCAAAGATATCTTTCCACAAAATTAAAAATATAGAACCTATTTAAGCCACTGGTTGACCTGGTAGCTAAAAATTTTTATATAATTGTTTCAAAAGCTATGATCTTAGGTATAATTGTATTATTTTTTTCAAGGTTCAAAAATTTGAAATTTATTTCTTGGATAATTTGCTAATATGGATCAAACATTTGAACAATTTCGGACAGGGGGTTTGGATTCATTTTACTCGGTCACTATCTTTCTTGACAATATTCCTTAACTATTTCTTTGAACCCCAAACCCGTATTCAAACCCGAAATTTTTTTAAAATAAAAATAATATATTATCTTCAATAAATTATTTATAAGGAATGAATTACTATATTTTGATTTTCTATCTTTATAAAGGAGATAAATTAAATATTATTTTTGTTATAATATAAATATTAAACGTTAAAAAAGGCAAATAAAAATAATCGATAGAGACTATAATATATAAATGATAATATTTTAATATTCCTTGGAAAGGAAAGACATATTATAAGGAGACCGTGATAAATAAGAATTTTCAAACTTTCATAATTTATTTCGACCTAGGATATGATTAGTTGTATTTAGTTGTTTTGTTTTTATGGGAATGCTAATTTCTATATATTTTATCTCCAAAGAATATCTATTTTTTGCAATTTATTAAAAATATACCACTTTTATAATTAGAATTTAATGTAATCCTTCTTTTTTATTCAGGTAATTTGTATAATATTCAAAAAATAATATATTTTAATTTTCTTATATGAATCAATAAAAGAAAATTATGTTGCCTATAAGGTTAAAAAAAGTGAAAAATAAAACGATTTTTTTTTCCAAAATATAAATATTTACATTAATTTTTAAAATTCATATTGGTATGGTATCTAAAATCAATACGCCCATATATCATACAGGTTTAAATTTGAATGAAAAAATTTATATAAATTATAAAAATATAAATCAATATTATTGATTTGGGGAATTGAAAAATATAAATAAGCAATTTTTAGCACCTGTATTAATTCACATAGAATTTATTATTTAATTATTTAAAACTCAAATATGATGTAATAATTTATAAAATAATAAAAATTATAAAAAGTACTAATTATTTATAAAATATTATAATTAAATTAAAATTTATTTGTTGTATACTACAAAACTATGTAAACTTCATAATCATTCAAACTGTATTCTTTTTCTGAAAAAGATTATAATGGATCTAAGTAAAATTTATTATTATTATATAATCAGGTCAATATACAGAATATTCTACAATCATTTTAAAATTTTAGCAATTATGTATAAAGACTAGTGATAATATTTATGATATTATTTGAGTTTTTGATTAAATATATTATTTTATAAAATGTATAATCTATTGCGTAGATAAGAAATAGTATAATAGTCTCAACTTACTTTAATGGTTTGATTTAATTATAAAGCTTATAATGCGCAACAAAACAACTAAATATATTGTAAAATTAGTTAATTTTTTATAAGTAAGTATCCTTTGCAAATTGAAGATAAAAATTATAAAAATATATGAACGTTTTGTTTTATAATATGAACTTGGAAAAAATAAGCAATGAACCCTTTAAAGACTTGTCATTTCGTGGTATAAATGGATAACAAAACAACTCAGATTACCGCGGATTCAAAATCATTATCGACATCCTTTCAAGCCTGTTATAGCTCTGCTAATGAGTTAGTTTACATTTAAAAAAAAAATATTATTTTTATCTTTTAGCTATATTATGATAAAGTTCATATAAAATTACAATTATTTCTAATTTTAATGAGCTATATTTATGACAATTAATATCACATTATGGAATAGGTATAAACATTATTTTAAAAATGAGCATGGGCATATAGATAATATATTTGTAATTTTTAATTCATTTTTATTTTTTTGGAGAAAATATAACTTATATTATAAGTATAAAAACTAAAAATCTATAAATATAAACAAATCAATATTCAAAAAGGAAAAAAATTTTTTGCGATTTTATTTAGAAAAGTAAAATCATCAATTAATTTTTATAAATAATTTTCAATGATAAAATATTGATATATTATTCATTATATATAGTGTCATCCTATGACACATGCTTTGATTAATAACCAACAAAAACTCCTTTTGGCAGTAGGATTTAATCGGGATTGTCAACAAAATTCTTAAAGCAACGATATTTTTTTTATGGGATTTGTTGTCTTAAGTAAAGATACCGTCATAATCGATTATCTTATTCGTTTAATTTTCCCTAGCGGTTTCAATCCTAAATATTTTTTTGATTTCTAATTATTGGCAATATCCTTACGTGCTTCCAAGAGAAAAGAGAATCCACGGTCGAAATCAAATTTATTAATAGTATTTCATATATATATGGTAATTAGCAAAAAAGGTTGTAGAAAAAAAACTCGACTGAAAAAACTGCGGAGGAAAAATCTGACGGAAAAAAACTGAAGAAAAAATTCTTAAGGTAAAAAAAAACCTGACGAAAAAAATCTAAAGGAATAATAAAATTTAGCATATCAGAACTTCGATTATTGATAGATTAAATTTCCTTGATGAAAATTTGTTATTACAGATATATTTATTGTCTATAAATATTATGCATTAGATATTTGAAATAATCAATTTATTTCAATTAATCTTAAATTAAAATTATGTAAAAATTAAAATCAACACAACTTAGCTTTTATTATAATATACAATCAAAATATAAATATTATTCCAAATTAATTGATGAGCATAATTATTCCTCGATGGCCTGTAAAAATTCAGGAATCGTTCTTATGCCTTGAATATACTCTTCAACAAGAATTTTTAGAAGTGTTTGCTTTCTAACGTTACCCTGGTTCTTTTTCTTTAGTAAGGTAGTCCTTATTGATCATTGTTCAATTTTTGTCATGTCTATGAAAAGTTATTGGTGGATAGATCTTAATAATTAGCTTCCATATATACGGATGTGGGTGACCGACAATATGGTAGAATTCCAATCCACGCAAAATATATTTGTTCGGTCTGGACTGTGGAAAAAGGGGATTAATATATCTTTGTGAGTTACGGCCTTGTCTATTATATCACTGACATAAGATTTGTAAAAATAAGTTAAAATTCCCTCTAAACAACGATGGAATAGATTTTAGGCAATTCATCCCTGAAAGCAAATTCTCTTCAGGTAGAAATGCTAATCTGTCATAATAACAAATTGGATAAATCTTAAATTATTGTCATATACCTTCTTGCCCTAATGTTTGAATTTTACGATGAGTGGATTGGGAGAGATGATAGAGGCACCTTTGGGTACTCACAGGTGGCCCTGAATAAATACAAAATAAACATAATGTGTAATTAATAACTTGCCAAGAACATTTTTATACAGCCTATATATTTTTAAAAATCAATGTATATTCTTGTGGGATCTAGATCTAAATTTTATTCACTCGCTTTTTTTCTAATAAGATCCTAACTACTTCTTCATAAGTTCTTTGAGTTTTTTTTGGGCAGTAAACTGCGTTATCACAAATGATTTGTAAGGTACGCGTATAAAATATAACTAAATGAATCCTTTAGGTTGTAGTTTGTGGTTTCCATCCATATACCACATCGAATATTGAGAAATTATATTGGTTTCAGATGTATAGCATATATGATTATTCTTTCATCGGCTTCCCTACCATTGTTATATAAAAAGAAAGTTGACTTTAATGGGTCACCGGTTGTTGCTCATTCACCTGTAAAATATTTTAAAAAAATTAGCCTCAAAAATATTGGTATATAGTGGAGGACAATTTTCAGATTTATAATTCTTTTAGCCAAATCTTTCGATAACATATATTTTTGGATATCAGGTTCCAATTTAGAAATTTCCTCCCAGCTTATTTTTAGTCTGATTTTTATAGTTAAGACAGATTGTGTCACTTTATAAGAATATTCTTTTGGCAAATGATTGTGCATATTTAATTAATCAAAATTAGCTGTGCACATTTAATTAATCAAAATTAGCTACCTAAAATATATTTTCTCCACTTTATTTAAAAGGTATAATTAAATGTTTTACCTGTATTAATATAGATTATATTTGCCATTTAAATAGTGTTCAATAAAGATTTACACATACAGATATTTTTCCGCAGTTTTTTCTCCATCATGTTTTTTTACAGTTTTAGGTTTAGTTTTTTATTCCACAGGCTTTTTTTCCAGGATTCATAATAAATGTTAAAATACTTGAGTTATGTTTTCTACCCAATAATCCCATCGCTTAAATTGCTATATCAAAACAGTTTAAAATTTAAATTTATATTGAACTAATGGTGTAACGTTCTATTGTTAAAAGAATAAATTATAAAATTTCTATATAGAAATGAAATGGGGTGAATATAAGAACTCGAATAATTTTATTTTAATAATTCTATTTTAAATATTTTAATTTAAGTATGACTTTTTACAAGTTATATTTTAAAGATCAGTTTATTCCCCTGAATATATGTTTTTATCAATAATTAGCGCTCTAATTTTATGAATCGAATATTTCATTTACAATAATATTCAGCAATATCAATTGGGATTTTTAATAGCAATTCTTTTATTTGATTCTGTCATACGCTTATTAATTTAAACGAATATATTAAAATAATTAATAATATTAATCCCATTCATGGATTATCATAAGAATTATAATTTAATGTGAAAAATTTAGAATTATTATAGAATAAACTTAATATACTGGAGATATTTTATTAAAACCCTCTATTTTTAGAAAAATATCCATTTTGAAATTAGCAAATCAAAATAATATGATATTCTCTGATAAAATTTAAATATTTTTTATAATAAATTGAAAACATATATTAAAAAATATTCTTTTAACATCAAATATTTAATTTTATTTTCTGTAAAATAATTTTTAATAATTGGGTAAAAACAATTGGGGTGGGGTGACCAGGGGGGATTGTCAGTTCAGCGGATTTTATTTATAAACCAGACATGTTTAGAAATCCAAATTTGGTTATATAATAAGCATTTTATATTATCTATATTCTGAGGAGGAGAGGAAAATATTTTATACCCCTAGCTATTTAAATATTTTCTAACAAAATGTGTTTTTTTAGGTAAAAATTAAGATGTTTTTACAACACCACAATATTAGGTATAGCATTATAATATGAAGAGTTAAAAAATTGACATTATGCTTTAAAATCCTTTCCCATTTCAAAAAGTTTCATAATCATATGTTTAAAAATACTTTTTTTAAGGTATCAATCATATTAGTAACTGGAGGAATTAGGGCTAGTCGATTAAATTAAATTATGCTTAAAAATATGATGTAATTATAATTATATAATAATATACCATAAATATTCATTAGCTACTATTATTGAGTATAGGAATAATGATAATTCAATAGAATTAGAGAAAAATAAAATTTTACTACAAATTTTACACATTTTCTATAATTCAAATAATGTCATATTTTGTCATTTTTTTATGAATTATTTATATAAAGGTTGATTATATAAACAAAAAATTGCCCATGGAAATAATGAAATTATAGTATTAATTACCCTATAGGAAACGTAATACATTAATTCAATCTGTGAGCCTCGAGTTTGAAAATTGTTAGGCAAAAGTTTACTTTTACTAGAATTAATTTCAAATTAAAGTATAAAATATTGTAAAAACTTATCAATGTATAATGATAGGTTGGCTAATTATTGAGTATATGAATTTTATATGATAATGCAATTGAATTAGGGGAAAAAAACAAATATTACACATTTTCTAAAATCAAAGAATGTCATATTTTGTCAGTTTTTTTATGAACTATTTATATAAAGGTTGATTATATAAATAAAACATTGCCCATGGAAATAATGGAATTATATTATTAATTAACCTATAGGAGACTTAATAAATTAATTCATTCTGCAAGCCTCGAGTTTGGAAAACTTTTACAAGAATTAATTTCAAATTAAAATATAAAATATTATAAAAACTTATCAATGCATAATGATAGGTAAATGTTTGGACAATCTCATGATATTATGATTTTAACAAAAATTGCCTAAAATTTCTGCGGAATTTCAAAAATATATGATAATCAGCATTGTAAGACACACATAATTAATTATACAATACAATTCAGTTAATTTATTGTATTATTTGGTTGTCAGTATTTTCAACAATATTTATTTGTAACATATCTATTTTGCTTGATTATTAACTCAGCTTCTAATTCTATTAGCCTCACCAAACCTGAAATGAATAATCGGTATTAACCTTTATTACTAAGAGAATCTAAACCGAACCTGTTAAAAATTTGTTATCGGAATGTGAACCCTCTAAAAATAATATTTGAACCTCTTGATATCCTAACTTTTATAAAGATTACTAATATTCAGTTTTGCTTGATAAGTATCAAAAAATATTTAATTTTTTGTATAATGCATTTTTACTGTTAGAAACTTTGGAGTTCCACGTCTCTATAGATAAACCATTGTTTTTGGTGTATTTTATTCATTAGAAGCATCATAATTTTGTCCTACCTAAAACCACTATAACCGTAAATTGTTGGTTTTTTATAATAATAGTACATAATTTTAAAAAAAATTTAACATTGTTTTGATATTTACAAAGGAATCATATTGAAAAATAAAAATTGATATTTAATGTTTCTACATTTAGGAAATGAATAACA